GGGTCTAGGGTTCAGGGTTCCGGGTTTACGGTTTAGGGTTCAGGAGTTGTGTGGGTGATTAAAGCAAGTTCGGCCCCTCCTTTGTGCCCAGGAGAAAACGTCTATGCCTGCGGTCCTGGTCCCGTGAGCCGCTTCCAGGAATGGCTGGATGGTGCGTGCCCGAAAGAACGTGAGCTCAAGCATGTTGCAGGAAACAGTTTCCATTTGCCTCTTTTTGGGACTTGGGCGATGTATGTCTTAGCTCATGTGAGACGGCATCCGGAGGATGCGTCGCGGCCAGTCATGCGCACAGAGTTTGGGGCAAGCTTGTCTAGCGATTGTCTCTAGGCTTGTCTAGTGATTGCATCTAGAGTTCGTAGATTCGCAGGAGTGAAGTGTGAAGATAACACAGATGTCAAGGACAACTCAGGCCCATGTGCACGTAAGTACGTGCCGCTGACAGTCTGCCGATTTTGTAGTTTCGCAAAGTAGGCTTTAGCCGCAGCGGTCGAAGCCGCTGCTTTTCGTATATGCGGTGGCATTTCTTTGAACTCTGCCACTTATGAATGGCTGGTTAGACAGAGCGGGCTTGGGGCCAACGCTCAAATCTAAAGCTGGGTCTTGGAGACAAAACATTCGCAGGTGTGTGTTTGTGTGTGTGTGTGTGTGTGTGCGACCGTGCAGTGCCAGCGTGTAAATTTCTGATGGCATGGCGAGTTCAGGGGTCCATCTTTGCAGACGTGTCGCTGCGATTCTTTTGTAGATCGAACTGTAGCTTGCTGCTCTGTCGTCCCAGCCAAGCTCCGGCGGCATGTCGCAGGAGGCTCCTGCAAATGCAAGCGGGGTTGCCGAGTCCGAAGCTGCCGGCAAAAGCAAAGAAGCAGCAACAACCCCGTGCCCAGTATCGCCGTCAGCTATCGGGCCCCTGGAGCTAGACTTTGACATTGCCGCGGACGACTTCATGGCGGAGGCCATGGAAACGGAGGAGCTCGACGACGAGGAAGACATGGATGCTGAAGCACTACCTTTGAATCCCGACATGTGCGAATGCTGTCAGGAGGAACCGAAATGCGAGCGGTCCGTCTATGGCAGTGAATGCAAGAAGGCACTCAACAATGTGGAAAAGCGGGAGGTGAAAGGGGCAAAGAAAAAGGGCGATCGATGGGCCAAATGGTGCGAACTCAAGAAGGCCGGTGGGCACAGACTTCATGCCGTTCTGTTGGGGTACCGAGACACTTGTGCCAAGTCTGACGGGCCCGGAAAGAACAGGGGCTCCTTCGACTTCATGAATCATTATGAAGAGGTGCAGAGCGTCGCTGAAGTCGCAACCGGCGAGCGCCTTGCCTACATGCCGCTCACAAAGTGGCTGACCATTGCCCAGGAGGACCATGCAATGGATGTCAACGAAGCCAGGAAAAAGTGGAAGCGAAAGGAAATCACTCTTCCTCCCAGTCAGAAGCGCAAGAGTGCCAAAGGCGTTCTGCTACTTCCGATGCCCAAGGAGTACTACATCGACGGGTCGAACAAGGCGAGGCACATCAAGGGCATGCGCCTCGAAGGCAACAAGATCAAGAAGCCCACAGCGGAGAACTTCGCTCAAGCTGAGGTCCACGTGAGCAGCGGCCACTTGGGCTTTTCGGACAAGGCCTTCGGCAAGGTTGGTGGCGGGGCGCTGTTGGACAACGTGCAAGCTGGCGCCTCCTTGATGTTTGCCCCTGACGGCGACTCCATCTTTGGTGAGGGTGATAACTTCCGCAAGCACGTGCCAGCCGTGCCAGCGTCTGGGGTTGATATCCATGTTCAGCCACAAATAATCCCATGCGAAGCCAGAAGCAGACACTACTAGTGACTCTAGTGTTTGGCGAGCTATGTTGAGTGATGTCGCCGTTGTTAAATCTCCTAAGGCTGCGGACACGGAAGCGCAGCTCACCCCCCAGAAGAATAAGGCGTCCAACGCTTGCGTGCGCTCGGCTCAACTCGCCGCTGCATCTCCCGATGCAGCGACACCGGCCTCCAGTCATGGTTGCAACACCCCGGGCTCAGCTAAGGATTCCCAGGAGAAGCAGGAGCAGCAGAGTAACAAGAAGCGCAAGAAATCCTATGACACGGTGGCAGCTCGGAACAAAGTTGTCGAAAAGATCACGGAGGACTTGGTGAGGGGCGTGGACGTTGCCTTGACAACTGCGTTGGAGGAGGCCACCAAGGTTACTGACCAGCTTGAGTCCGAGTTCGGAGACAAGGCCGCGGAGCCGTTCTTCAAAGTGTACGCCGACACCATCCAAACTCGTCGGGCTCTGGTTGAGCTCGTGCAAGGGCGTGACTCAGCGGCTCTGGCGGCCAAGATCGAGGAGAACCAGAACATGAAGGTTGCCACGATCGACGACGCTGAGAAGTTGAGGACTCTGCATTCTGAGGAGGTTCGACTGACAGTCAAAGCTTACGCGTGCGATGATGAGGATGGCATCAAGCTTGCTTTGAAGGATGTGAAAGAGTCTGTGAGCATGTTCAAGCGATTGCAAGTTGCTCTGAACCGGGCCACATCCGACCTCCGGCGGGCTTTGGAGCAAAAGAAAAAGAGGGCAGCTGGCCTTGTGGAGAAGCGCAAGAGAGAGGAGATCGCCAAGAAAAAAAAAGAAGAGAAGGGCATCCACGATCCAGAGCGAGCTCGGGCACCAATCCTACCAAGGCTTCTTGCAGATCTTCGAGACACAGTTTCCCATGAGCAAGCAGGCAAGGGAGCGTAACAGGGCACAGAGCGCCATCAAGATCCAGGGTGTGAGCAAGCTGAAAGAGGCAATGCTTTCGTATTGCTCCAGCAAGTGCAGCGCATTCGCTTCGCCTTGCAATGCGGACCTCAGCGAGGTCGGGACCTACGGCTTCACGTCCGCGATGACCTACGGCGGCATTGAGTACTTCGGCATGTCCACCGTGCGGTATGCCATCAAGGGCGAGCGAGAGATTGTCACTGCAAGTGCCGGAGACCTTTGGGCTGTCCTGCAGGAGAATGGTGTGGAAACTAAGATCTCGAATGAGCGACCCGTCTCCACCCTCCTCGGCGAGAGGATGTGGCAAAGCCGTCTGGAGGAGCCGTGGATTCAGTCCCTCATGCTCAAGGGCAAGGCAGGTGTATCGGGTGGAAGCAGCAAGATCTTCCACCGAGCAGTGATTCCTGAAGGATCTCTCCTGTTCGTTCCTTCCGGCTTCGTCGTCTGTGAGCGATCATTGAACGGCAAGATCGGCATGGGCCTTCGCCTCTCAGTGAAGGACTCCTCTGAGAAGGCACATGCAGCCTTGCAGAAGCTTCTGAATGTACATCAGACCTACTGCGAGTCAACTGATAAGCTTCTCGGTCGCTGGGAAGATGCTTTGAGCCGCAGCAGCCAGTGAGCGGCTGCTTGGTTCGATGACATTTGCAGAGTTTGATACTCAGTTTTCATAGGAGGCCATGCAGCTTCAGCTACATACGTACCACGTAGCCATGTTACATAATGCGCTAGCCTATCTTGCTAGGCCTACTCTCGGGGATACGCTGCTATGGGCCCAGATGATCATACCTGTCTTCATGTCGAGTCCTGGGCTCGGTCAAGCTGTGTGTTTGGGCATGGTGCATTCGAAGAATCACCTTGGTGGACAGCTGGCCGGCTCCAGAGCGAGATTACCGAAGACGTGTGCGGGCCCACAAACGTGAAAGAATGATTTGCGCACGTGCACTGACCAGAGCATCACTGAACAATACTGATGCCAATGTGATTTTGTGGTTAGCGGCCTTTTTGCGCGACACTAATGCTCATGATTTTCGGGCCAGGGGCTTTTGTGTGCCATACTAGTGCTCATGATCTTACGGTTAGGGACCTGTTTGCGCGATATTAAGGCTTATTTTCGGGTTAGATGCGTTTCTATTGCTTCTGATTTACAGTTCGAGGCCTTTTTGCACCATACTAATGCTGATGATTTTCGGTGGGAGGCTTTTGCACGCAATACTAGTGCTTATGATTTTACGGTTAGGGGCTTTTGTGCGGAACACTATATAAGTTGCTTATGATTTTGCGGTTAGGCGCCTTTTTGCAGAATAGCAATGCTTATGAGATGGGGATTTGGGGCGTTTTGTTCGCAGTACTAGTGCTTATGATTTTTCGGTTAGGGGGTTTTGGAGCAATACTCATGCTTATCATTTTACGATTAGGGGTCTGTTGCGTAATGCCTAAAACCAACCTGCCCCCGTAGACTTTACTCCTTCGGCCACCTCAAATCTCCAAGCCGCTGTTCGCCCAGGTCAGACGTCTGGCTTGTGGAGAAAACACAGAGCTGCGCAGGGCAGGGGTTTCGAAGTTCGGGCGGCTTGATTCGTGGAATTCGGAGATGTTCGTAAAAGCTCAATGAATGCAAAGATGTAAACGGCTTCGTGCAAAGTGTTTCTTACGACACCCTAGATCCGAAGCCCGAAGTTATGCTCTTGGAACAAAAGGCTCCAGTTTGCGAGCCGCTTTTTCAGCGAGAACAGTTCTGCCCATTGCCATGTGATCATGAGACTCGCTCCGACTCGCTCCTACAGCAACATCGCACTCAGTGCAAACTTCCCTCTCCCTCTCGCTCTCTCTCGCTCTCGCTCCCTCTCTCTATCTCTCTGTGCGCTTATGTCTGTGTCTGTGTCTGTCTGTCCGTCTCTGCGCACTGGCACTGCATGCACACCGACATATGTAATTTCAAGCTCCGCTTGCCACGCCTTGCCTTGTGGGCTTTTTGTTACTCCAACACCCTCAAGAAAGTGTTAACTGCAGACCCCGTGTGTTCCGGACCTGGGGTTACTTAAACTACTGAATATGCCGACCCTGATGAAAATTGCTAGTTTCGGGTTTAGGGTTTGGGGTTTAACGTTCAGGGTTCAGCGGTTTGGGGTTTAGGGTTTGGGGTTTAGGGTTTAGGGGTTTAGGGGTGTAGGGGTTTAGGAGTTTAGGGTTTGGGGTTTGGGGTTTAGGGTCTGCCTAAGACACAAAAGTAATCCTGAGGCCCTGAAGCCCCAAGCCCGAAAAGGGTTTAGGGTTTAGGGTTTAGGGTTTAGGGTTTAGGGTTTAGGTACTGAAAGGCTGCAGCGGCTTGACCTTTCTTTAGTTCTTGGCCTCTGAACACTAAACTTTAGAAGCCCTCAACCTTACATGTTGAACGGTTTAGGGTTTAGAGTTTAGGGGTTTAGGGTTCACAGGGGATAGGCTTCATAACTTCACTCTGAACTGTAAACGGTGGGGTTCGCAGCCCTAAGTCGACGCCGCGAGTTCAGAATGTTGAAATCTGCAACTGGAAGCCCCGAATCTCACCATGCCATCTCAGACTGGCAGCATGCAGCAGATGTGTTTACCCTAAACCCTAAACCCTAAACCGTTTGATCACACATTTGACGATCTGACCTGCTGTCAGATACATGCCATGAGACGAATCGAGATGTTCACCTCCATGGCGCTCTCCCAAGAGGAACTCCTTGTGGAAGCTTCCAAGCAGCTCCACAAGGGGCATGCCAGCAACGTGTTCTTAGAGAGCCCAATACCCCTTAATTAAGGAATAGACCTTAAATCATACGATTAAGGCCCGTAGAACTTTTAAGGAACATGCCTTAAACCATAAAAAGGCTCTATAATTTAAGGTAAATCATAAGATTAAGGCCCCTAGAATTTAAGGTATATTTCTTCATTAAGGGGTATTGGGCTCTCTGGGTTCGAGTTTAACTACGCGGGCCTGCTCAAGAACAGCCCGATTGGCCTCAGAGACGCGACAGGCTACTTAGAAGGATCTCTTGGGATTGTCCTCAAACTCCTCAAACTCGTCTAAGGTTGAAAAGTGTGGCCCCAGACCCTTAAGCTTTTTGGGGGGATCATACCCGAAACCCTACACCCTAAACCCTAAACCCTAAACCCTTAGGCTTTTTGGCGGATTATCGTGAAAGGCCTAAGGGTGTGCAAGGGTACGTAACAGGTGTATCAGGGCTCACGGGTAGGGTTTAGGGTTTAGGGTTTAGGGTTTAGGGTTTAGGGTTTAGGGTTTAGTTTAGGGTTTAGGGCCCATACTAGGCGCCCATGGCTTCAATCTTGCATAAAACCCTACACCCTGAACAGCAGAAACTCGATGTCAGGTATCAGATGAAGCCTAAAGCCTAAACCCTTAAAGGAACCCTTGCAGGAACCATTAAAAGAACCCAGAGGAACCCTTGCTACCGGCAGAAACTCGAAGCGAGGTATCAGATGAACAAGCTCCTGCAGTGGGCAGATGCCAAGAAAGCGGAGCAGCTCGCAGGCGCTCTGGCGGAATACGTGCCGAACACCCCAAACTCTAGGGGTTTAGAGTTTTGGGTTTAGGGTTTAGGGTTTAGGGTTTAGGACCCTGAACCGCTACGGTAGATGCTCCGAAAGTTGGAAGCCCAATAGCCTCAAGCCTCTCGGGTAATGTATGGGGAATCCAGCACGTATTGTCCTTAATCCGGTTTCCAACTTTTTGATTTTGGGGTTTAGGGTTTAGGGTTTAGGGTTTAGGGTTTAGGGTTCCAACTTTTTGATTTTGGGGTTTGCCATAAACCTTCAGGGTTTTGGGGGTTCGAAGTTTAGGGTTGTTAAGCTTGGAAAACAGATACCAGAAGTCTAACCTTATGAGTCATACTGTTGATGGACAAAATCCTGCATGACCTTGTATACATAAACTTTGGGAGTTATGGTACTATACTATACTTGGGTCATGCCGAATTTTGTCCATCAACCGTATGGAATCCCTTAACCCCAAATAAGCGACCATCTCAAGGACTTTAGTTTAAGGAAGTCAAAATAGAGTAAGGTGCCCGCATCGTGTAGATCCAGTGTAGATTTTACAGGGATCACGCCTGGCTTCCGGCATCCGAGCAGCGTGCCCCACAGGGGACGGTTTAGGGTTTAGGGTTTAGGGTTTAGCAAACGGATTTGGGTTTACCCTAATGAATATACCACGAATCAGGGGGGGGCTCTGGTCTAATGAGTTAAGGAGTTAAGCTCTATGCCTTAATGAAGGAGTCTTGAACTCCGTGGGTTTAGGGCCATAGGGCCATCGTGTTTTACAATCCTAGCCCCCAAACCATAAACCCTAAACGAGTCTAAACTAGGCATCAGTATGGTGGGTTGGGCTTTGCAAGGAGCCCTACGGGATTCCGGGGGCCCTTCAACTTTTCAATCTGAAACTCGGAGCTTATACTTCTAAGCCTTATTCCCTTCGGGTTTAGGCTTTACAGGTTAGGGTTTAGCTACATCTACGCTTCGGGGCCACAAAGACCACAGAGGTTAAGGATTCGACAAGTGCAGCGAGGAAGACCCGCACGCCGTGCTGGTGATGCGCTGAAGTTTAGACTCGTTTAGGGTTCAGGGGTTTAGGGATTAGGGTTTAGGGTTGATGCCTGAAGTTTAGACTCGTTTCGGGTTTAGGGTTTAGGGGTTTAGGGATTAGGGTTTAGGGTTGATGCCTGAAGTTTAGACCCTAAAGCCTAAACCCTAAACCCTAAACCCTAAACCTTAGATGAGCCTTCAGGGGATTGGCAGAGTACTGGTGCCCGTGAGTAGAAACAGATTGAGTACGCGGGATACAGAAGGGTTTAGGGTTTAGGGTTTAGGACGAAAATAGTTGTTGACCCTGACAATTCCGAGCTGTTGCTCATGAACGAGAGATGGTGATGGCAAGCCCGTTTCATTCTGCTGCACCTTCGTGCTGCAAGGTCCAACAGCGATGTCAGCAGCGAGAACGCATCCGCGAAAAAATGCAACTGTTGAAATGCTGCAGTCCTGGAACAATGATTGAGACATGTAACCTGGCTGTAAGTCAAACAAAGAATAAGACCAGGCATCCAAGATCGCATCGAAGCCCGCCTGGATGAAGAGATCAAGGAGAGGTTCTTTGCAGCGGCTGTCGATTGTGTTATCCGCGTGGTTTCGCGTATGCCGGCACAAATACAGCAGGACGAGCAAGAAACCCTAGCCATTACCCATAGGCTCCGTTGTAGTCCCTTGTTGGGGTTACCTTTCTCGGATCCGAAATACAAACCACAAAAAGGAACCACAATGGAGCCCATGGGTAGAGAGAAGCCTAAACCCTAAACCCTAAACCCCAAATCCTAAACCCTAAATCCTAAACCCGAAATCCTAAATCCTAAACCCTAAACCCTAAACCCTAAACCCTAAACCCTAAACCCTCGTCTAGAATGATCGCAGAGAGCGTGAGATCAGGCTTCGGACACTCCGAGGCTCACGGGTAGTTGTAAGTGGGGTTCTCAGTCCCCTACTTGGAGGTTCATGGGTAGTTCTAAGTGGAGTTCCATATTAGGGGACTTATAACCCTACTTATAACTACCCATGAACCTC